TGCCGCCGTGCCGTGCCGAGCGGCTCCACGTCCTGCTAGACGCCAGCTCGGAGACTTAGTGCCAAGGGCTAATCCCTTCCCAAAAGGATTTCTGTTCTCCAGCCTCAGTTGCTGGCTTTGGACAGAGCCAGGCTGGCTGGGCGGCTGCCTGCAGGCAGGATTTTGGGGGCAGCAGGGCGTGCTCGTCCTGCTCAGCCACGCGCTGCTGCAGCTCCCAAATCGCAGCCCTGTGCCGAAGAGCAGAACAGCAAGGCCATGGCTTGGCAGGACCGTGCTCACCCAGGAGCCACCGATGGGGACGGGGCTGCTCTTGCCCCCTGCACCACAGCTGTGGGCTTTGGGGGAAGTCAGGAGCGACAGCAGAGGGGAGCGATCGCCTACGGGTCCTGCTCACCCGGGGGCTGGCGTGGGGCCGGGGAAGGCGGCTTTGCGGGTGCAGCGCAGGCTGGGCGGGGAAGGGAGGAGGAGGCTGCGTGCTCCCCAGGCGGACGGTACTCTGGATCCAGTTGCCATGGAAACTGCGCTGCTGTCCCAGATGCTGCTAACTTTGAAGTCCACCCAGGATGGAATCAGCCCAAAAATAACAATAAGACGCTCTGGGTTTTAAGGTGGATCGGCAGAATTGCCGTAGCGAGCAGCAGGCACGTGCATCGCTGCTGCTGCCGTGCTCCAAGCACCCGGAGGCCCTCCTAGACATTTATGGGGCTATATAAATGGGTTTGAAGAATTGTGTTGGGCTCTGTATGAAATACTGACTCCCTGCTTGAGAACTGTGTCCCAAAAGCCACGTCAGCGTGAGCATTCGCGGTGATAAATATCTGTGCTAGGTGCTTTGTTACAGAAGGAGGGTTATGGGCACCACTGGAACAGGGAGTATAAAACCCCTGGTTTGTAGCCTGCTATTACATGAATGAACAGCGGGAAGGGGAGGAAGGGACCATATTCAGCGGTGCTCAGGAGCGCGCCAGTGCAAGAGCCAGGCTGCTCCGGAGGACGGGAGTCACATCTGGAACTTCTCCCTGCAGGGACAGGCAGGCACTGCCAGGCTGTCTGTCACCAGCCCAGCCACCATCCACTGCCCGTGGCTGTCTGGTCCTTGCCTGCACCAGGCTGAATGGGTCACAGGGCACCCGAGGATGCCCACAGGGTGCTGAGAGGGTGCTGGGCTCCTTTTGGGCTGCTCATGGTGCTCCCGGCACTGGCTCGGTGCAGCCGCCTTCATGGGGAGCCCTGTGGCCGATGGTGGGGTGCGTCCTGGCGCAGCACACAGGCGCTTGCTCTCTCCCTCCTGGCCCCACGTGCCCTGCGGGAGGGAGTAATTTGCACTTAATTGTGATCAGGTGAAGAGCACCAAAATGGGAAGTGAACGTGGAGCTGTGGATCGATGTGGACTCTGTGTACTTTAATTATTCACTTAATCGTGGTGACACAGGCTTCTTAGCACCGGGGGTAATTAGATTTGTGTTCATTGATTCCCCAGGCTGCCATTATCTGGAGAGAAATGAGCGGGTGCTCTCCGCGGCTCCCACCTGCACCCCCTGCCTGGGGTGTCTGGGGTGCCAGCGTGGGCAGAGGGGTGGCACAGCCCGCCCTAGCCTGCCCGCAGTGGGGCAACTGGGACGCAGGGAGCCCCACCAACGTGCTTTAACCCCAGCTGCAGGCGGCAGTGGCAGGGTCTTGCAGGGGCCCCGGGTGTACCCCGCACTCACACTCTCTCTCTTCCTCTCACCAGTTCCCATTGACGCCTCGCAGGGGCTGAAGATGCTCTATGTGTTTGTGGACATAAAGATCGACACGTCCCATTTTCTTGAGACCATTCGCTTCAAATTTGCAGCAGGCA